GCCGTCCAATTGGCCCTGGACATTGCTGAACGAGAAGGTTGGCCGAGACTCTACCTCTACACAGACTCGTGGATGATAGCCAATGCTCTATGGGGATGGTTAGACCGATGGAAGAAGATGAACTGGAGGCGTGGAGGAAAACCCATCTGGGCTGCTGACTTGTGGCAGGACATCGCTGCCAGAGCGAAGAGTCTGAATGTGAGAGTCCACCATGTAGACGCCCACATGCCCAAGAAGCGAGCTAATGAAGAACATAATAACAACAGAGAAGTGGACCGGGCTGCACAGATAGGGGTGTCACAAGTAGACCTAGACTGGCAGCAGAAGGGAGAGCTGTTTCTGGCTCGATGGGCCCATGATGCTTGCGGTCATCAAGGCCGAGATGCCACCCACAGATGGGCACGAGACCGAGGGGTGGATTTAACCATGGATATCATTTCTGAAGTTATCCATGATTGTGAGACTTGTGCCGCTATTAAGCAGGCGAAAAGACTGAAGCCCCTGTGGTATGGTGGACAATGGGATAAGTATAAGTATGGAGAGGCATGGCAGGTTGATTATATCAAACTGCCACAGACCCGCCAAGGTAAGTGCTATGTACTTACCATGGTGGAAGCAACAACGGGATGGTTAGAGACTTTTTCAGTGCCCCACGCAACGGCCCGGAATACCATTCTGGGCCTTGAAAAGCAAGTCCTGTGGCGACACGGGACCCCAGAACGTATTGAGTCGGACAACGGGACTCATTTCAAAAATGGATTAGTCACCACTTGGGCGAGGGAACATGGTATCGAATGGGTATACCACATTCCATATCATGCACCAGCTGCTGGGAAGGTTGAGAGATATAACGGATTATTGAAGACCACTCTAAAGTCATTAGGTGAGGGGACTTATAAAAACTGGGACAAGAACTTAGCCAAGGCTACCTGGCTAGTTAACACCAGGGGTTCTGTCAATCGAGCTGGCCCTGCACAGGCAGAATCCCTTCACATTGTTGATGGAGATAAAAGTTCCAGCAGTCCATTTGAGGGGAATGCTAGGGAAAGCTGTTTGGGTTACCCCTGCCTCAGGCCAAGACAAACCCATTCGTGGGATTGTCTTTGCTCAAGGGCCAGGACATACGTGGTGGGTAATGAGGAAGGACGGAGTCATCCAGTGTGTGCCTCAAGGAAACTTAGCCTTGGGGAAAAACTAATTGTATGTCCTAAGTTGTGTTTTTACAGGAGGCCAGTCACCAGATGAGAGAGAGAGACCTGAACTAAGCTGATGCTGGTATCCGGTGATGAGACAGTCCAGTGATGAAACAGCCATAAATCAGAACTGTAATTGTGACTGAGGAGACCAAAGATCTGGACTGAACTGACATCGGTATTGATTTTCCAATGACGAGACAACTGTGCCGAGAGACCAACAAGAACTATATATATATATATGCATATGTGTATATATATGCGCGGGATGTAGACGAACGTGAGACATAGGTGTTGCGTAAAGAAATAGTATGGAATAAGGGGTGGAGAATGTGGTGGTTTCACTCTAGGCCTTCCTGGAGACCAACTTGTAACCAGGAAGGAACTAGAAAAGTGATCACGGAAGTATTCCATGCTATTCCTTTACGTAACTTGAGGTATAAATAAAGCCAGCGGGAGGCATCTCGCTCTCTTCCTTTCCGGCGAGGTTCGAGAACGGCGGGTCCCTGTTTTGGTCTGGTTTATCTGGAGCCGAGGCCTACAGTGACTACCGTTATCTGCCACGCGTGAGGGGAGAGCCTTGGGCCGTGTCTAGCCATCCTGCCTGTTCGAAGGGAAGTGGTGAGATTTTTGCTAGTTTGCCTTCGGTCGGCTGGTTGGCTTGTTCGGTCCTTGCCCCTTTTTGTCCTTCTCCCTTCCCCTTCCCCCCCCCCCCTGGTGTGTGGTATTCTCCTTTTGTGTATCTGTCTCATATGTAATATATATATATATATATATTTGCTATAGCTTTGGCTGCTTGGTTTTTTTTTCTTTTCCCTCTCTGGGAGGCGGGTCCTTGTTGTCGAGTTTCGGGGACTTGGCGAGAAGCCAGCTCGAAACTTGCACAACAACAAATGGTGCAACCAAAAACTTTCAGAAGAAACAAAACAAAGTCCCAACAAAACAAAGTCCCAGTTCCTCAGGTGGAGGGGAGAAACCCGCCGCAACCCGGGGAGGGTCTGGGGGAAAGGCAGGACTGTCGCGGCAGTTCAACAGCCGCTCAGAGCCACGTGTGCTCGCAGCCAGCAATGAAGTCCCTTTTTTCCCTCAGGCAGTCCCAAAGGCAGAATACCTCACTCTGAGATTGGTCGGTCTCTCTCTCTCCGTCGTTCTCTGCGAGGTGTCCCATGGGGAAAAAAACTTCCTGTCAGGAAAAGAAAAGGATGTGGCCGAAACCGGGCTCCCCGCTCTCTGTGTGGTCTGCAGATCAAACCCAAAAGCCCCCGAACAAAAATACTCGCCAGCTATCCCCACGGCAACCGTATTTCTCGAGAGAGCTCCCCCCCCACACACGCTTCACTCCGTCCCCCCCATCCCGGAAGAAACAGATCGCGGGGGGGAGGGGGGGGAGGGCGAGCATTGGGAAAAAATTCCAAAATCTCTTTTCAAACCTATGACACCCACTCATGTTTTGTTGTCCCCTCTCCCACTTCTGGGGCTCCCGCCTCCTTTTTCTGGGGGTCCTCATCCACTTTTGTGGTCCCCACCTATTTTTAGGGCTTCTCCTCCAATTTTTCAGGTCTTAGGGGTATTCCCCCCATTTTTGGGGTTCCCCCCTCCAATTTTTGGGTTCCCCCACCCACTCCCATTTTAGGAGTGACCTCCAATTTAGGGTTTGGAGGGCATGGGGAGAGAGTAAAGGGGGTCCCCAAAAAAGGTTTTTCCTCTTTTATTTCAATTTTAATTTTATTTCCTTTTTAGTTTTCTTGGGTTTAATTTTTTAAAATTTTCTTTCTTTTCTTTAAATTATTTTTTATTTTCTTTTATTTTTTTAATTTATTTTTCTTTTTTTAAATTATTTTTAATTTTCTTTTTCTCTTTGTTTGTTTCGGTTTTATTTTTAAGTAAAAGTCCCCCACAACTGCTGCTCCTGACAAATCCCTAAGTATGGGAGGGAAGCATGGCAGGAAGCTCACTGCTGGAACCAGCCAGGAATTTTCCCTGTGATTTTAGCTATTAAAAAGGGGACTTTTACTTCCACATGGAACAGGCTAGGCAAATGTTATCATTAGAGGGAACTAAATCTCTTCAAGAAAGAGGTTTTCTCCTGTGCAAATCAGTCCTTGGGTAGGAACTGAATTTGGGAGATCAGCTGGTCTTGCCCCAGAGAGCCTCCTTCCCATCAGCATTAGTGACCTGACCTGTGCCCACCACTCACTATTCACTCAACAAAAAATCAACAGCAAATGTTTGTTTGTTGGTAAGAACTTGAAATATCTTTGAAACAAAAGACATCAGCTTTTCCTTTTTTCAACTTTCTTTAAGATATTGGCATTGCCTCTCTGGCCATGTACTGAGTTCTCCCTGTGACGGATTGTCAGGCCTTACCAGCTGCAAGGCCAGGAAGCTGGAGAGAAGTATTCATTAGATGGCAGCAGAGTTTCCTCAAGCCTTTGCCCTTTTTTCTGCCTTTTGCTGATAGATCTTGGCCAAGGGACAATGCCAGAATCCTTCACTTTGGCAATAGTGGGCTTAGCACCATCCCTCAAGCCCATCCAGGGCAGGCTCCTGCCCATCGCCCCCTGGCCACAGGTGGATGTGGGAGTGACAGGGCTGTGGGGAATGCTGAGAGTTTTTCCCCTACCTCTGGCAATTGGGCCATTAAAAAGACTAATTGACCTCTTCCCCAGCAGGGAAACATTTCAGCAAGAGGTGCCAAAAAGAATTGGAGTTTCTGGACAACAAAATCCGCAAGTAGCCAACTTAAAACGCCCCCCAGACTGTCACCGGTCCAAATTCCTTGGACTGGTCACCTTGGCCAGGAGTGTCCAGTCCTGCTGGGAATGCCTTGGCCTGTGATGCAATGTCCATTTTAGGCTGTGAAAGACCCACCTCGGTGACCCCACAGTGGGTCCCCACAATTTTAAGAGTATCAATTGAAGGAAACTCAACCTTTTTCATGATTTTATGGGTATCAATTGACAGGGAATCCCCATTTTCCATTATTTTCTGGTTGCAATGGAAGGGTAAAACCTTTACAATGCCATTTTATGGGTTTGAAATTGAGGGCAAACCCCCCCTTTTCACCACTGTAAGGTTTAAATTGAGGGTGAATCCCTGTTGTCCCTTATACAGAAGACTTGAAACTGAGGGGAAATCCCCCTTTTTCAATCATTTGAGGTAATTAAAATGAGGGAAAGCCCTCTTACTCCAATATTTTAGGGGTTTAAATTGAGGGGAGAACCCACTTATTTACCATTTTATTGCTTTAATTTGAGGTAACACCCCCCCCCTTCTCCTCATTTTAAGGTTTAAATTGAAGAAAACTCCTAATTTTTGATCATTTTAAGGGTTTGAATTGGGAGGTTCCCCTCCATTTCAGAGCACTTCCTGAAACACCTTTTTTCTGCAAGTAACTGGATTTGTCCGTGAGAAAATTTGTCTGGGACAAAATTTGTCTGGGACAAAATCTGCCAGGACAGAAAGGTCTTGCTTCCCACAGAGTGCCCTTGGAGACCCATGATCTGCACCTGAGAGCCTCAGGCTCCATGCTTTCTTTCCTGGGGGAAAGGGCTGTTGTTTGCTGGCAGGTACCCAGCTCCAAAATTGCCAGTCTGCCTCCCAAAATTGAATACAGACGAAAAGGGGCCAGGACAGAAAGGTCTTGCTGCCCTTGTGTTATGATCTGGCTATTAAAAATTATTAGAAATGCCTGTGCCTGAATTAAGGTGCAAGTGGCAGCATATGCCAAAATCATCAGTATGGATTTTATTTAACAGTAAAGGCAGAGAAAGAGACAGAAAGAAATAGGAAAAAGGAGTGGGGGGAAGAAAGAGAGTGACAGAGAGAGATTAAAATAGAAAATTTATCACCACTCCATGGAACCTGGTGGCATCTCATGGAGTCCTGTTCTTCTGGTCTTAGTGGGGAGGGCCTAGCAAAACATGGAGTGCAGTGGATTAATACATGTCCAGGAGATGCCTAGGCACCTGCCCTGGGAGAGAGGAAGCTTTGCAGTCTCTTGCGACAGGCTCTGGATTTGTTGCATCACGTGCAGTTCTGTAGTGGAGGAAGACCGCAGGAATGAGACGTGGGGGCTCTTTGGGGGTCTTTAATGGTTTATAACCCCTGCTCGACTGCCTCTTACGTGAATGTCCCGTGTATATGTGGTCTTCCTGGAGTGGGGAGGGGATTACTCCTGCTGGGTGTACAAAGATTTTGCCATCACACCCCCAAAACCCTTCTCTTCCACCACCCAATGAGCCTTGTTTACTTCTCCTCAGACCTGAGATGATTAGACAATAGTCTTACCTGAAGTCCCTGTCACAGTCCAAATTCCAGTCAGGAAGGTCATTTAGGAGGGGGGCACTTCAGTGGTCGCAGACAGGCAGTTGCTTCCTTACAGTTTGACAAGAAATCTTTCTATGATTTTGAGAGTGTTTAAGCCATTTCAGTCTGTCACACTGTGGAGTGCCCTGGAAGGCCCATCATCTGCACCTGACAGCCTGAGGCTCCAGGCTTTCTTTCATAGGGGAAAGGGCTGTTGTCTGCAGGCAGGAGCCCAGCTCCAAAATTGCCAGGCCGCCTCCCCAAATTGAATACGGACAAAGATTTCTCCCAGACAGAAGGGGCCAGGACAGAAAGGTCTTGCTGCCCACAGAGTGCCCTGGGAGGCCCATCATCTGCACCTGAGAGCTCGAGGCTCCAGGCTTTCTTTCCTGGGGGGAAAGGGCTGCTGTTCACTTGCGGGAGCCCAGCATTGAGTTTGCAGAACTAAAATTTCAAAACATAAGCAACACCAAGAAGCATACAGAACTGGCTCTCATTCAAACTGCCAAAAATGGAAAAAACAAGCAAACCAAAACTAAAAAACAAGGAAAGAGAATGAATTCTATTATAGAAGCATAAAATAAGTAAACAATGGAATAGTGTACCTTTCCAGTTTTCCTATGATCCCAGTTCCTGGCTTCTTCCTGGATTTTTTCACATTCCTTCATCATTTTGTTATAAGGAAAGGATATTCTATATATTTTCTGCAGAGTTTCCATATCAGAGGAACTCTGATACACAAACCCCAAACTTTAAGATAATATTACATAATATCACGGAAAGGAGAGATAAGCATTAACACATTCAAACAGTATTATTTCTTTCCTTGGGAAGAGATTTATATGCAGTCTTTGAGCATTTGTTTATAACAAAGATACTTGCAGTGCCTTTTAGTCAGCATACTAATACAGAAGACAAACAAAAGTGACTGGTCAAGTAATATTTTTATTCTACTTAGGTAGCTTGTTTCAACTCACATCATGGCATGTTTTATTACTTCATATTATAGCAGCTAGAAAAGCAGTTCAAAGCACATTCAAAACATACTGCAGTAGAGAAACACGAAAGACACAACAAACCTAACTCTCACAGTTAATTCTTAGTTGTTTTGACAATCTAACACATAATCCCTGGAATTCAGAGTTCCACACACTTCAGTTAGGAAGCCAGCAAAAGCAACTATGATGAACATTCCAATGAGGTATTGGTCTAATATGGTTACCAAAATTGGCATCTGTGAGTAACTTAAACCATACCACAAAAACAAAGGCCTCTGCAAACCCTGTCTCTGCCTTTCCTGTCAGCAATACCATCTTTTAACAGCAGCACTTGCAGATCTGCCATTTTACCTCCTGTACCTGAAAGATACCATCTGACAAGGTCAAAGTAGTATATTCTGACTCAATAAACACTTGGATGTTCATTTGCTGCAGAACAGAGCGTGCAGCCCCACACGCACACATGCAGATGTGACAGCAAGTACAGTCTCAAACCAGAACACTCGTACTATGAGGTGCAGTGCTGGTCAGAGGTCCTGGAACAGCACTGCCACATGGGCTTAGGCACCGCACTTCTCTACTGGGCATGGGACAATTGGTTCCATAGCTAATCTAGTCACTACTAGCTACAGTGTTCTTACTGTGCTCTTCATCAGTCTAAACATGCATGTTAGTACACTAATACTCTGACAAAAAAAGATGCTGTTAACTTTCACTGATGTACTATTGTGATAGTCAAGAATCAGTAAACCTTGGACGCAGATGAATGATTAAAGTCTGCAGTTCTACTTGTAAAATGGGAGTTCAGAAAGAAATGAAGGACTATTTTCAGAGTAAACAAAGAAAACAATACAAAGAACCCTAGCATAATCAGCTCAGGAGAAATAAATACACAAATAAATCAACTGTACCATTGTTTACTTCAATTTCAATGCACAGTTAATTTCAGTTTACCCTAACTATTTTAAGGGCCTTAATTTTCCAATGTGTCTCACTCTGCAGAGATTAATCGGTGGACCACATCTATATGCCAAAAGAAAAAAAGTGTTCATTTCCAAATACTCCAACATTTTCTCAGTACAGTCACTCATGGTGCACAAGTTCGTGCTTGACACATTCCACCACGGTAGTAAATATGAATATGCAATGTGCAGCACATTCAGTGCTCCATAAATGTAACTGTGCCTTCTACCTGAAGTGAAATATTCTCTCAGTAAATGCTCAGCACAGCTGATCTATTATCAAGACCATCATAACACACTCACCAACTCATATAGTTCCATATGTGAACTTTGTTAAAGCTGGCCAGGAAATTTCAAACTATGCATATCAAACAGAAAAATGGTTTTGCTATTTTCCAACCAACTGATTGGAATGAGCAACTAAATAAGCAGGTTCCTCACCCCCCAATAAGCTGAGAGTTAGTGTTACCCACTATGCACCAATCCAATGTCTGGGGTGGTAACTTATTTTAATCAGTTTACTGAAATGAGAGGGAATGAATAAGAACTGAATTTGCCATTTGTCCACAAATTGAGACCTAATCTGTCCCAGCAGAGAAAGAAAATACCTCGTTTTACAAAAGTAGCAATATTAATTGCAAACCTAAGTCCCAATCACACAAGAATTTGGAAGTTAGAATAAAAATAAAAAATAAACTAAAACGAAAAACCAATTTATTCCTGTCTCAATTTAAATAAACTAACTATAAAAATACAATATCTTAGAAGCATATTTCTTTACCTGTATATTGTGGTAGTTGGTGTCTTCACCTTCTCATTAGGGATGTGACAGTTAAAAGTTGTTATACTGTGTGGAAACATGAAAAGTCAGAAACATCAATAAAATGGCTAACAAAATTCTCTTTTTAAATTATGTATTAATAATGCAAGTGCATCGGTAAAAGACACAACTAAGTTAAAAGTTTGTACTCAGCAGTTCAACATCCTTCAGAAGAGTTGCAAAACAAGAGAGGAAAGAGACAAAAACATCTTAAATCCCCTGAGGGTGTGTTGAGGATGGTGATTACCACCTGAACACCTCAAAGCATTGCAAAAGGCAATTACACGGCATTGTGAGATTGGCAATATTTACTGTATAAAACAGGGGGCTATAGCAAAAGTCTTTTTTGACCTGTCTCTGCAAGTGAGCCAGAATGAATGAGTGCCTTTTGTGTACTTATTTGTCATCTTATTGAGCCTGAGGTATTTTTGTGTAATACAAAATTGTTTTTATTAGTGCCTGAAAACATTCTGAACACTTGAGAGGAAACAGAGGGGGAAAGGGATGGTATTCTTTTTCTTTGTTTTACTAGACAGGTACAGTTCTGATGACTCAGTCACATGCAGCATTTTATAAAAGTTACATTTTAAAAGATCATTGTACCACAACCACAGCTACTCAAAAGATTTACCTTAAACATGTCTAACAGGGTCTCCTTGTTGACTTCCAGCCTTTCAAAAGCCTGTTTCTCTTTTATGATATTTTTACAGCAGTTCTCTAGTAGTGGGAGTTCAGTACTAGATACACCTCTAAACAAAAAGACACAGGTAAAAGAAATATAAATTAAATATATTGATATTTCCATTTTTTGAAATAACCACTTTCTAGTGGTCTAATTGGAAACTGTAAAATGTGTTGTTGTGATTTGTCCCAGTATTTTCTGAGCTTCTTCCAATCAGTTGTATTTTCAGACACCAAACTCAGAAACGCAAATAATGCCACCTCAAACAAACCCACTGCAATCATTCCTAGAACAGTCTTTGGCATGATTAAATGTCTGCAAGACCTACAGGTCGAAGTATATGTATGATTTAAGAAAAAAAATAGGGGGGAAAAAGGCTCAACCCAGTTGCAGGAGTCTGTTTATGGGCTGATGCAGATTCAGTATTCTCCCTGACTACAGAAAGATAAACAAAGAAAAAACAGAATTGGAAAGGTGTGCACAGTGATTAGAAAAGTAGTAAACACCTATACAAGTTATAAGCATATGTGCCTTCTCTACAAGTGACTGTGGCACTTGGAAACCAAACTCCCAGGATTCTTCAAGGAAACCATCTCCTTTGTCTGTCCAGAAGTTCATGAAGTTTTACCCAAACACCACATTTTTTCTGCAGAACATCGAACAGCTGCAAGTCTTACAGAGCAGGTGTCTGAACAGTGCTCCTGAATTTAAATGTACATACACACTCAATTTATGTGCCTAGATAGAAGACTAACCTGTCAGCTTCCAATCATATTAGAGACCCTATTTCACTTTTAACATGCAGAAACATGACAGAACAAACTAATTCTAGTACTGAGATTCAATACAGAGTATTAAAGTTCTAAGACACTGAAATTGTACCTACCTTCAATATATATGTCAAAATAAAATCCATTCTCAGTTGATGGTCCATAGCATAAGCAGCCCCCAAAATATCCTTCCATGGCCTCTCCAAGAATGTGAGCACTTGAATGTCAATAAACCTGCAAATAAAGTCAGGTGAGAAAGCCATGGGGTCAGTGGCATTGTGTAACTAAAAAGGAAAAAAATCAAACCATAAGTATATCTGCAGATGGGAAGTAGACTGGAACCAATGTTGTTTAAATTTTAAGAGAAGTAAAACAATTTTCTGTTCTCACTTTGAAGTACTCTAAATGATTAATACAATGGCAGATGTAGCACTAAAAGCCCACCATACTGTAGTCTGAAAGGTGATGATTATACCTGTGTGCTATTCCATCAACTTAGTACTTACTGTACCTTGTTAATTTACAAGTTAGTTTCTAGTCAGTCAAAAGTCTATGCAACACTAATCAGATCTAAAACAATGTAGCCAATTAAGTTTCCACTGTTCACATTCAGTACCTTTATTAATAGGTCTGTAAAGTACATTACCTGAAATGTCAGCAGAGGGGAGCCAACAACCCAGTAGATCAATACCAGTCTCATGTTCTAAGTTCCTGTTAATTTGGACTAATTCAGAGCCACTGCTACAAGATAAAGCCTTTACAGGCTTCTGAAATGCCTCAAACAAGCTTAATCACATGAATAATTCTTTGACAAAATTGAAGTCTAATTCTAATACATAAACATAAGCTTCAGACTGAATCTCATTAAAAAATAAAAATCTTGGGTGTGTTGCTAAGTATATTCATAGTTTAATTGACTAAGATACGACTGCTTACGGTTCTAATAAACAGTGCCAGTAAAAGGAGGTGTAGACTTTATTTATGACTCAAATCTAATGTTGGACAATTTTTAGAAAACAGCAAGACAGCCTTACTTTGCTTTCACTGTCTGATCTTCAAATGCACTGTCAAACCACAGAACATATCTTAGAAGACATCAAACTATTTCAAGTTAGCATATAAATCAAGGTGTTCTGTATGATCTCATTTGAGAAATAACCTGTTTATGTAAAAGAGAAAGATGAAAAGAACCCTAAGATTTTATTTACTCTCAGATAATAGGCACTTAGTATCTCACCTTCTTTGCTGAATCATGGGAAATACATTACTTGAATAGTTTTGTGTGGGGTTTTTTTATGTCAAGATTTTAAAACCTAATGCTGCAATCAATTTTATGTCATTAGTTCATCTAATCAAGCAGAAACCAGAGAGTGTTTACTCACAGCTTTTGCTTCTTCATTATCAAAGGTCAGCAGCTTCAGAGCACAATCTCCCTCCAGTGGACAATACAGGTCCCACAGTTCACCATCCGCTTTGGCTATGACAGCATTTGAAGCCAACACTTAACTAAAAAACCAGAACGGACAACAAGAGACCTGAATATTTAGGTTCAGACTTGTAAAAGACCTTAGGTTTCTAAACCCCATGAGACCACAGTCACATCTCGTAGCACCTGAATACCTTAAATTTTTGTTTCTGTGGTGGTCTTAAACACTTTTCTACTTTAAAGGTAAAGAACCTTAAGGTCTTGAGAAGTTTCATTTAATGGTTTTCAGTGCCGGGGATCTGGAGGAAAGACTGCTTCTTACAATAAGTTCTACTGTAACTGGTAACTGGTAACTCACAAAACTTCCAATGTCTCTATTAATTCCTAGCAGTCTGACTGATTTACCTTTTAATTGGAAGCAAGCATTATGATCCTAGCACAGAACCTCAAGCATCGCTCAGAACAGTAACCTCAACCAGCTGTTTATTATGCATTAAGCTGAAAGTTCAATGCTTTCCAAATGAACCAATTTAAGTCATCATCCACTGACCATGACATATATTTTACACAACAAGGTAAGAGACAAATGATAGTAAGTTTTATCACTGCAAAAGTACAACTCCTTGAATCTGCAGGTTACCGAAGTCCTACAGTTAACTGAAAATGGTGTGGTTTTCCCCACAAGATTCCCCTTCAGCCATTTTCCCATCTGTCAGAGTAATTTTGATAGATTTGCTCTGGTTGGCTCCTCTGTAACCTAGCAAAGCATCATGTTCTTTTTTCAGTGCTTCATAAAGCTTCAGTGTGTCTTCTGTGAAGCTTGGCACACACTGTAGCTGTAACAAATAAATTAGATTATGCACATACATATTTGTGAGAGAAATAGAATAAAAGGATTCACACCGTTGGTGCATCCCCAGAGGTCCCAACTTTGACCAGATTTCACTGTACTAGAATTTATACCAAAATGCAGTAAACCATTTTTACATAATTATACAAAGGATAGTCCCATCCAACCTTCTGACTACTTTATAGTAGCTTTCCAATTTGCCATGCACTTTCATCAGTCTGGGCCTAAATGGCTTTGCAAGTTTGACCTCAGAAAGCAGCCTATATTCCTGCACCAGAATTTGCATTTGGCAGATGTCCTAGAGAAATCTGGATCACTCCAGTGAGCCCTCATTTCTGCCAGTCCATTCAAAGCATCAGATTCAAACAAGATAGTTCACGTGAAGGTTACTCTAGTTATTAAGCTCTATTGTAATACAGCTAGTGCTGCCAACATCCTTTCAGCCATCACGCTTTTTAACTGCTCATGAACCTTCACTCTCTTTAGGCACCACAGAATTATGGCCTTTATTTCCAAATAACCCCAATCCTTTTCTTACATAAAAAGTAGAGATCTAAGAATGTGTAACTAACCCTATTAACACAAGGTGAAGCTCCTAAATAATATTTTTTTTCTCTCTGCTATAGCAAACCTTTTCCCCAAAAGCTGGGATTTCAAAATACACAAAGTATTTCTGAACCTGATCAAACACCACTTCTCCTATTACTATGTACCCTAAAATAACCATTTAAATCATTCTGATGTTGGTTCACAGATTTACCTTCTTTTTTCTTTTCCTCTTTTATTTTGATTCACTGCATCAACTGGACTTGCACTGGAGACTTTCTGAAAGCAGTGATAATACAAAATATACCCCTACTATGCCTTTAAGACTTTTCCCAGCAATCGTTGAAACAAACCAGACCAGTACAATATTGGGCTAAAAAGGTAATTACAGGGGAATAAGTTATGTCCTTAGCACTTATGACCCATCTAAACCGCATCTTTTTGATTTTCTGCAGACACAGCAAAACTGCTCAGTGGCACTACTACAACTATCACTGGCAAAATCTCCCCAGCGAAACCGTGGGAGATCACACTGGCACACTGAACAGTGACAACTTTCAGTGGTGTCATACCTGGCACAGGTTCACCCAGAGAAACTGTGGATGCCACATCCCTGGCTGCGTTCAAGGCCGGGTCAGATGGGGCTCTGAGCAACCTGGTCTGGTGGAAGGTGTTGCTGCCCACGGCAGGGAGTTGGAACAACAGGACTGATCTTTAGGGTCTTTCTCAACTCAAGCCATTCTCTGATTCTATGATGCACGTGCAAAGGCAGATCCACTGCTCAGTGCTGCGGGCAGACACCGCGACCGGCTCCCACCCGCGGAGCACCGCGACCCCCGCGGGCTGGGGACGGGCGGTTCGGCGCCGTGAGTGTCCCTGTCCCGTCTCTCCCCGCAGAGGGCCGGCCAGCCCGTAGTCCACTGCTCGCCCCCCCCTCCGAGCGGCCCCGGCCTGCATCGGCGCCGCCCGGCCCCGCTCGGCCGCCGAGCCGTGGCGCAGGAGCAGGAGGGCGGTAGCGCAGCCTGTCGTCTCGACCCGCAGCCGCTGCCGCTCGGGGGCTGGCGCTGCCGGGGCAGCGCGGCTCCTGCGGCTCTTTACGCCACCCGACTCGGCCCGCCAGCCAGCGCAGCTCCCGCGACACCCGCAGCGATGCCGCCTCGGCGATCGCCGCCTTCGCCCTGGGCCTCTTTGGCCCCGGGCCCGCCCTGCCGCTCCGCCCGCCGCCGTGACCCGCCCGGGCCCGGAGCCGTGCGGGGGTGAAGCTATTGTCATCACTCGTTCTTCTGATTGAGTGAATACTTCTTTGTAGCTCTCGCTGCTGTGGCGTTAATTAATAAACGCACCCACTCGCCTGGCTCCGAGGATGGCGAGCAATTGGAAAATGTCGATATCTACGAAATCAGTTAGGTTGGAAAAGACCTTTGAGATCATCGAGTCCAACCTATGACCGAACGCCACCTTGTCAACCAGGTCTTGGCACTCAGTGCCACGTCCATTGTTTCTTTAAACATCTTCCAGGGACGATGACTCCAACACCTCCCCGGGCAGCCCATTCCAATGTCTGATCACCCTTCCTGAGAAGAAATTCTTCCTAATGTCCAACCTAAACCTCCCCTGGCACAGCTTAAGACTGTCGTCTTGTTCTGTCCCATGTTCCCTGGGAGCAGAGCCCGACCCCCACCTGGCTCCACTCTCCTGTCAGGGAGTTGATGAGAGCAGTAAAGTTCCCCCGAGCCTCCTTTTCTCCAGGCTGAGCTCCCCAGCTCCTTCAGCCGCTCCTCATCAGAGTTGTGCCCCAGACCCTTCACCAGCTGCATTGCCCTTCTCTGGACAGCTCATGTTGAAATCCCACTTCAGTTTATCTAAAACTGCTCTTTGAAAAACTTTTCTCTGTAACTCTCATAAACAAGAAGCTGAATATTCTGAGGCTGCAGTGAAGAATCACATCACTAATTCTCAAAATCCTCATCATGCCATTTTGCGGAGCACATGGCAGGCACAAGTGGTTTGTAATAGGGAGGGGAAAAAACGTGCTGCACCCCCTTTGCTATTCTCATTATGAAGCAATGTCAGTGTCAAAAAGTGTTGATCAGATTGCATCCTTATTTGACCTCAATGTCAAATAAACACTGCCACATCTTACTTGTAGTGGATGCTTCCTGGTTAACACCATTTCTTATGAAATTGGACTGACCAAAACTAAGCAGCATCTTTGTACAATTTGCAGAACTAGGCACCCAGGTAAATAATTTGAAGAGGTTTGAGTTGCCAGGCATTAGGACTCAGAGCTTGGGAGGATTGTACAACTTCTATTGCATAGTCCAACAGTCTGCACTGAATCATTTACAGGTCATTGCAGTTAAATACCAGCTCCCTGACCCTGGGGAAAAAGTAGTTCTCCATCACAAATCCTTTATTTCCACCATGCATTTCTATGTATCATTTTGTCTCAATTACTTCTTTGGCATCTTCAATTTCTATGGTTTCCTCCTTTGATTGTACTTTACACCCATTTCTCTGTATTCAGTCTCTCAACACACTTTCAAATTTTTTGCCTTTAACTAGTAATCAGATTTTGAAAGCTGTGGATTTTTATTAGAACTCTGGCAATTACCATATCAGAATTTTAGCATTTTATTCTCCTGTGTACATTACTGGAAATAACTTCACAGTATGTGAGAAGGAAGAGAGGCAAATTTTGTTATTATCCACACTTTGCTGCATTTCCTATCATACCACGCATTCTATATGATTTTAAGACTTCTTAAGAAGATATTTGAGATTAAAGGGATATATTCTTTTACCAACAAAACTAATGGGGACATTTCTGGTTCAAAACATTGTAGTCCTTTAGGAAAAAAAAAAAAGTAAGTTATTCAGTGCATAAGTCCAAAGACACTCCTATATACTATATACTCACAAATTTCAAACTGTCATTACCCTGGATAACTGCTGTGTGTAGTACTGTTCCCAGCCTATATTAACGAGTTCATATTATACTAACCTTTCTTTGCATTTTCAATGCAGAGTACTGGTTTTTCTCCCATGAATCCCCAGAATTGTCTAATGGCTCTGTAGTTAATCCTGCTTGTCGTTCTACCCCAGCTAAACCTTTTAATGATGGTTTTAAATTAGTTTTATTATTTAAGGTATACTGAGAATGTACCTCAGCAAACTGATACCTATATACATTTTTCATTTGCACCAATTCTTCTTCCTTTTTCTGAAGTGATGCAACTTATGTCCATCACTGACTATAACAAGGTCATGCATCTTCAAGGATAGACTGTCATGGTCAGAACCATTATGGACATATGTAAAAATAAGACATAACCTATAGTTTCTGTTAGAAATAAATTTCATTGTTAATTTGACAGGTTACCTGCTTTTTTTAACTTCCAAATTCACTACTGTGCAGAATTTATTACTCTGTTTAGGATATTGATTACAACCAGTGTTATCAGCACAATAAAATAAACACAGATTTGTTTTTTTAAAAATTAAACTCTGACAAATGTATGCAGGTTACATCCTCCTTTATTTCATCTTTGGGCACTGCCTTATGAACCCAAAACCTGTAACTTTGCGCTTGCTCTAGCTTTTAGTGAAGTAATAGAAAAACTTGCCATCAGAAGTTGTAGAGGCTGAGAAGGCTGAGTCATAGGATGCTGTCTAGCATATGTGGAGTGCCAGGCTTTATCAGGATCTTTTACCTCCTGAGATATTGTTGTATTAGTAGTAGTAGAACTTCTGAGAGAGAAACAATTTGAAGAGAAAAAAAATTGTACTACCTCTATGAAGGTTGAAAAACTAGAGGGAATTTTAAGAACCAGTATTATGAAGGAGCCCTTACTTTCAAAGGCCGCATAGAAGATGTGCCAGATAAGTTGCCTACTGCAATGACCCTTGTTTAGCTGTACTACCTGGCTCATGGTTGGGATAGAATGTGCCTTTCACCACCTCTCTTCCCCCCGTGGGTCATCTTTGGTGTGGTGTGTGATGCCATGGAATGCATGGTAGCTCTACCTGAGTAGATGCAAGATGATTACAGAAGTATGAGAATCTCACTGCTATGGTTAATAAGCCATAACACCCTAAACTAGGACCATTAATACAGCTTCAAATGACATATAATTCCACTCTTCCTTACTCCAGATGATGTGTAACATATGAGACTTGCTGTATCTGCAAACAACCACAGGGTGACAGGCAATGCTGCTAAACAATTCTGTGAAGCCTGGCTAGTTAATTGTTTGGATGGTCATATTATTAATTAAAAAAATTCCTGAATTCTTACATGGACAGTGGTCAACTTTAATGCTGACTGATGAATAATTGAAATTTCAGAAGCAGAAGAAACCTGACAGGAGGATACAGTGGTCGCATCTTCAGATCATCAGGACAGAAAATATCATAAAACTTTTTTGCCGAAGACCTTGGCAAAATGGTTTTGTTCGCTGCACAACCGATAAACCACTCTTAAGAAAAGTGCAGGTAAGGCCACAAGGGCAAGGCCATGGATGCACTATCATGATGTTGGAAGTAATGGAACTAGAAAAAATAGTTCAAGAAACAGCAGGAGGAGGCAGGAAGTACTCATACCTTTTCTACATAGGGAATTTATGTTGACAGAAAGTATAAAAACAAGACCGAGAAGTCCAAGTATTAAGAAGCATTTGCATAAGGGAGGTTATGTAATGTGTGATCCCCAATGAATGATTATCAGTGGCAGAACACCTCCACTGGGATTGCAGTAATCTTCACTGTCAACCTGGCTTGTGGAATGGACACTACATGGTTTATTTTGCTTGGAAACAACATAAAGATCTAAACATGCAGAAATGTTATTCTTAACAGTTATGTATTTATCTTCACAAAAAAGGGTCTTATTCTGAAACCTTTTTTTTTTTACCTTTTGCATAAAGGTTTACTAAATATTTATAGAAACTTGCTGTCTGAATGTGTAATTCCATTGCATATTAAAGCTAATATTTTATGAAAGAATGAGAAGTGGAGGGCATTTGTACTGTGGTTTGGGTATGGCCTCTGAGGAATATAAAATTAAAGTGTACAAAAGAAGCTTTAGGTTATGTCCTGTACCAGCTTGTACAGATTATTTCAGTTTGATTTCAGTTTGCCAGCTGTCTTCTAGAATGAATTATTTTTTGCAAAGGCATATCTTTGAAGATCAGTTACAGAATTAAAAAGTAACAGTAACTAAGCAATTCTCAGTCTCATCATTACGGTTCAGAAGCTGTTAACAGTTGTAAAGGGCTAATTAGTGTAATGTAATCCTCTTAGGAGGCTGCAGGCATTGAGCTAGATTTCTTTATAATTTGTATGTAGGCCTTCTTTATTCCATTGGAATTACAATAATTACAGACATCAGTATGTATTTGCATTCTAGCCATCCACATTATGTTTATTTTGCATACTGAATATGCCACGATAAATGCAGAAGTAGAATTCTCTATTTTCTCTTTAAGTATCAAAATGTTTGGAAGAACAGCCAAATCTTGGTTTTATAACTGTGCGAAATCTACCAAAAGAGAAAATGAAAACAGGAGTAAGTGGCTTTCTGAAATCCCAAGCAATCAGAGAGAGAAAATACTGGAAGAGCTGGATGTGAACAAAGTGCTGTCATATTTGGTTTACAAGAGAGTCTTTTCCTTGGAGGAATACAAAGACATTTGGTCCCAAGAGAGCTACAGGAAGAGAACTGAATATTTTTTAGATAAACTCTCTCTAAAAGGCCCAGGTGCTTTCTCTGCCTTTTGTTCCATTTTGGAGGAGGTCAGTCCTAACTTGCTGACATGCTTTCTCCTTGGCGATGAAGGTAAGGTCACTGTCTGCTCTGAA